ATGGATTTAACTAACCTGTGGACTAGTCGATGACCTTCAAAAATGTAATAGACTTCAACTGGGAAAGACTGAAATGAGAAATTATTATTATTATGACTCTAGAAGTGAGAAGTCCCATCTTGATTTGTTGCACAAAATGCCATCACTGCACATTTTTCAACCGACATCTTAGCACAACCCACCCCTGAACATTATCAAACTGTACCTTGGGTTTAAACTTGCTAACTTCTAATGTAAAGAATACGCTCGCAGTAGCTCTTGGGATTGGTTTTCTTCTTGTAGGAACACTCCACTTGACTGCATAACGATATCGCTTACTGTATGGATGATCTTCTTCTCTTAGAAAATCTATACAATAAAGCCAACTGCTATCTCTTTCCCATGTCTACATACAAATAGAAAATATTGGGATTAGAGCAATTTATATTGGGTAATTGGCTGCTGCAGGTTTCCATTGACATCAATGATGCTATTGCAAAGAACTAGAAGTTRTATAAAGGTTTGGGAGGTACTAAGCCATGAGATACTATAAACTGAAGATACTTGATAAGTGGGACTCAGCTGTCCCAGGTTAAAAAAAGTAGACAGCTGGTAGCAAAAATAGTTGAAGGTTCTCTGCAAAGGCCACAGTATAGTTTTCTTTAGGCTTGTTACAATTTTATGTTATTATTCCTTTAGTGTATGTTTGTGGTTCTTTTTGCCATCTTGTGAAAGGTAGCCATGCCTTACAATATTGAAATWMSRAMCSRAAWTMCATGATTGAAACAAAATGACCAGTGAGATAGAGTGCAAGTCACATAAGCATTAAACAATTCTTAACTATGTAGTGCTAAATAAGATTTAGTTATCAACTAACTAAGAATTGAGAACAATGCTACAAAGGAATTTAAATAATTGGCATTGTGTTTATGCTTTGTTGAATTCTTAGTTAGTTGATAACTAAATCTTATTTAGCAATAAACTTGTTTTAAGAATTGTTTCATGCTTATGTGACGTGCAGTCTACCTGTGTGAACAATAATGTATATTAYCATTGCATGCTCAACAGTAATCTTGCAAAGGTTTACAGCTATCTATTTACAGATAGCAAAACCATTTTGTTCATTTTTTCAACCAACCTGTATGAATTCTTCCACTTTCTCAAGTCCTCCAGCAACAGTAAAATTATCTGCACTCATCCATTTGATATTCGGTATAGGTTTGCCAGTTTCTGGGTCTATATTGGCTTGTTCCTCTTCAGTCTKCTGAGTCTCAGCCATGTCTTCTGGTCTAATACTATTGTCATTTTCGAATTTCGCCATCAAACGTCTCATGGCATTGTCAATCGCTTCGTCAACGATCTGATGGGCTTCATCTTCGTATATTTCCTCTAAAGTCCGACTGCCTGGAACAATTGTCTTTAGAGCAGGTTGTTTGGACGACATGTTCAAAGATATATCGACAATTACAAAAAAATAATTTAAAAAAACTTATTTTGGACTTGATCTTTCAACTCAATTTTATTTTCTGTACTATATAAATACAATCACTATGGTAACGAAATTTTATTGTGATGCGCATGCTCGCAGGTGAGTTCAGCTGCAYAAACATCGCGGGCTTTTCATTCGTGCCCATTCCACCCGGACAGGCATTGAATTTTCTTTACTCCAGTTATTTCACTTTAATTTCCCATCCAAAATTTCATTACAGYAAATCCGAAATGTAATGTCATTTTAATCTCAACGCATGAAAATATATAAGGGAAAAATTGCTATAAATTTTGCTAAATTTTGTTRGTGTTATTTTTAAAGTAGACTCGTTTCTGTGTGGTGACAAGGTAGTGTGATCAAGTGTCAAGATGAATGGTCAGAAGAGCATGACGACCTTAAATGAATTTTACAAGAATATGTGATAGTTTGTCCTCACATGAGACTACCTTAGCACTTCCGTGTTGGCTAACGATTTCCTGCAAATGTAGCGACATMAAGTGAAAGTCGTGAGTTTGGAGAATTGCAGATTATGGAAGATAATTTGTGGTACCATGGTCTACTTTCTCGTGAAGAAGCTGTTGCTCTTCTCGTAAAAAACGGGAAAAAAGAAGGTTTATTTCTTGTACGAGAGAGCAAACAAGTTCCTGGTGATTTTGTGCTTTCACTTTGGAAAGCAAATCAAGCTCTACACTTCCAGATTCAATGCCGAGGGGATATTTATTTTTCTATTGACGATGGACCAGTATTTCATGGCCTCGATGCACTGATTGAATACTATCGTGAAAATGCTGATGGATTGCCAATAAGATTGACTCAGTGYTGTAAAGGACACCCTCCTCCTGCTTCAACAAGGAGGCATGGCATTCAAACGCCACTTCATCAGGCTTGTATTGATGGGGATGTCAGACTGGTTCAAAGACACTTRCGTGAAAACCCTTTAGCAGTAAATGCCCGCAATGAAAATGGCAGAACACCTCTGCATCTAGCTGCTCTTAAAGGTTCTGATGATGTGACAAGAATGCTGCTMCAATGTGCAGCAGATCCTAGGTGTCGCGATAATAATGGCCACACTGCTTTAATGGTAAGAAATGGATAGCATATTGAATATTAAGTTAAGTGTTATTTAGGGGTGTGAGCAGCAATAGTTGTACAAGTCTCGGCAAGTCATTAGTACATTCCTTTCTCCTCGTGATATTGTTATAGAAAATAAAAGTCATTTGGTTGAAATACAGTAACATCACATTATATTACTTTAAAAACAACCTATAATTCCATAATTTCAATGATTTTATTTGATAAAATTGTAGAATATTTATACAATTTTAGAATATAAATAGTGATGATACATTKGAAAGCAATTTCAGTATTTTTATGTCATATATTGAGCAGATGTTTCAGTCTTAACTTATTCACTTGGATGGTTATGCCTTTAAATTAACATGCAGAAACCTCAAGYATWAGCATTGTGTTGTGGATGTGTGACCCTTGACATTTTTGTCTCAGTGGCTATATTGTCTTTTGACACTTTCATTATTTTGTAGTGTGCATGTATAGCAAATAATCCGTCTACTTGTAATGTACTGGTACATCAAGGCAAAGCTGATCTACAAGACAGATGCCCTAATACAGGATGGGTAGCACTTCACGAGGCTGCCTCAAGAGGGTTTATAGACTGTTTTCATTTGTTAGTTCARCTTGGAGCACCACTYCATCCAAGGACRAATGATGGTGATACYCCAAGAGACTTAGCATTAMGATATGGACATGTTTCAATATCAGACWTGATAGATAATTATCATTTAAGCCCTCCAAGGACAAATTCCACAATATGGTTACATGAACATCTTGATAGACAGGTATTATTTGTGAATAAGATACTTAATGTTTTTGTGGTTATTAGGTCATATTTGCATTGGTATAAAGCCATAAATCAAGCGGATCAGATACCATACACATCTAAGCATAAATAGATCACGATGGCACACCTTTCTAATTCAGACGCCTCTATGCTATGGACTTTCAAATGGATTTTTTAGGTCCCTTCAGTTTGATTATCATTTTCATATGTAAAAATGACAACACTTCTATGAAACCCCTTGATCACTGTATATAAGGGATTTTCTTTTAGGAAGGCACTAATATTGTAATCTGTTATAACAGGGAACTGTGAAGCTATTTCAAAAGTGGGGATTAGTAGATGGACAATTTCTAATAAGGCTGAGTACAAGAGATCATGGATATTATGTCTTGTCTGTTGTCCTTAATAAGCAAGTATTTCATTATCAAATCAAAAGTAGGGTAAGTTAAAACATTCATTGAATATTCATTTTGTTATTTCTAAAATATCATGCTTTTTGATAACCACATTAGGAACATTACCACTCTATTTTTATGCAATAATGGGAGGGAGACATTTATTGGCATTTACAACTGCAAGCTGCAGGCAAGCAGTTTAAAKCCCATAAAGGTCAGGCATGAATATTTTATATMGCTTATCAAAAAYTTCAAGATGRAATTTTATTTATAAGAGAAAATCTATTAAAGTCTATGCAAATCATGAAAAATCTCAAGTTCATATAAAGATTGGTCACAGAAAAGATTTCCATTGTATTTGCATAATGAATTAATAATGAATTTGAAAGTCTATATTTAGAACAGAACCAAACAGATTGTATCTTATTCAATATAAAGGTTGCCTTATAGATTTTAACCTGCACATAAATGCCTAAATCTAAGACTCTTTTTTGAATTCACCTTTCAATTTTTTTTGTTATAAAGATGTGATGTTAAACTAAATTCATGTGTTTCAGTCTGATAGGTGGTTCTATATAGATGATGGTCCTTTGTTTGAAACACTTCCACATGTTATAGACCACTACAGTAAAACAGCTGAYGGGCTTCCTGTGTTACTGTCACTGGCAGTTCCACCAGATGGCAGACCCCCCATCCCTCTTACTCACTTTACTCATAATTCACCTAGAAAAGTTAGCAGAAGCAATTCAGTGGTATGTGTCAAATGAATGAATGAATACATTATTGAATGAATACCTGAATAGAAGAAAAATATGTATGTACAACTGATAAATAGAATAGTTGTTGGATTAATGATCAGATGAAAAAATAAATGAAAAAAACAGGATAAATAAATGAATAAAATAATGAGACAGTTTAATGATTAAAGATTAGATGTGAAGAATGTTGTGTTCTAAAAACAATCASCATAGAGATCAAAGTCAAAGTCTAATTGCATTCCCTGAAAGAGTATCTAGGGTGCTGTGTTATAATACAAACAAAATAGCAGTTTTTACCTAAAGGTTTGAATTAGAAAATTACAGTGAAAAATCAAACTTATAAAAGCACATATTTTGAAGGAAAATTTTGGGCCCACTTCACCACAGCCAGCTCCAACTRCAAGAAACAAACTGGTGAGATCTAAGAGCGAACATCCTCATCAGATAGATGACAAAACTGACAGTCTTCCAGTAAGACCACAGCCTCCTCCAGCTGTATCACCAATGAAGCCATCAATCAAAGTTCGACGTCCACCACCACCATTACCTCCATCAGCTCCTGAGGTCAAAGAGGAAGAAAAACCTCCACAAGGTTAGTACATATACAACTACAAAAGAGATAGAATTGAGTAATAATTGTATGGATGAATGAATGAAGGAATGAATGGAGAGTACAAGAAGCTGTTGGAAAGCCACACATGTGAAAATGGTTGAATCAGTGGAAAAATCTATAGGTTATAAAACAATATAGATGTATGATATGAGTAGATGGATAAAGGACAAAGACAATGTATTTCTTTAAAATTTTATGACGGAGTCTATTTTGCATTTTGTCAGCCAAATCACAGCAGCATACTCTAATAAACAGACAAGACCTTGAGCTTGGTTCAGAACTTGGTCAAGGAGAATTTGGATCAGTACTGAGAGGTGTGTGGAAGGACCCTAGAGGAAACAAGGTATGACAAGTAATTATTTTCATCATTAATAATATGATATAAACTTGAATAAATATTATCATCAATTAAGGSAGTTTGTGCACATTTTGATACTGCATTGAATTCATGTCTTAGATTCCTGTTGCCCTCAAGACATTGCATCCTGATAAAATAGCCCATGGAGAACAGGTACATTAATTTTGATCATTCATTGCACTTTAAAGTGCCTATGACACCTGGCACAATAATTGCTTATTTTTTGTGAACAGACTTTATATAAAGTAAACTTGTATGATTAAATGGTGAAATATTGCTGCATTTCAGTATTGTTTTAGTGTTGCAAACTCAAAGACGCAACACTGAATGCAGGAATATTTCACCATTCAATTATTTACTTAATATAGAATCAGTTCACAGAGAATYAGCAATTATTGTATCAGGCTTCATAGGCACTTAAATAAAACAGTTCTGTTAAAAAAGCCTCTGATAATCCTGTTGAATAAAATAACTCTTCTCTTAAGCAAGTGCATTTACCATCCAAATGCAATGTACTATAAGACAAATCAGAAAATAAAAACAAATGATCATGAATGGACATTGAATTAATGAACGAAAAATTTGATCTCTGCACTTAATATGTACACACTGACTATTAAAGGCTAACAAAAGCCAAAACAGCTTAAAATTGACATTTCCTTTTCAGTTTTACACATGGGTCTAAAATTTCTTAATTTCTTTCAGGAGTTTCTCAGAGAGGCACGTGTTATGTATGGATTACACCATCCTTGCATYGTGTCTCTGATTGGTGTGTGTTTGGGGCCACCACTTATCTTGGTAAGCCCTTATACTGTATAAGTGTTAGCAAATTTGCTTTGAAATGTTTATAAATTCATCCCTAATGCAAACATTTAATGTTTGCTGTTCAGGTTCAAGAGCTGGTCTCTATGGGTGCTCTWTTAGATTTCTTGATAGATCACCAACCAGAAGTATCCCCAAGGGACCTTAAACTTTGGGCTGCTCAAATAGCATGGGGGATGATGTACCTGGAAAAGAAACGATTTGTACATAGAGATCTTGCTACAAGAAATATCCTGATGGCTTCCAAGCATCAGGTGAATTGATGCTACTTTAACAATCTATTTTGATACAGTATTTTTAAGAACAAAACAACAGCCTTCAATTTTGACATGTTTCGSCTTCCTCAGATGATTYGTCTCTTTTTCTCTTCATCCATTCTTGTCTTTCCTAATCCTCTCTCCTCAGTTTTCTGTCTGTTAGCTTCCTTCTCTTTCTTCCATTCATTTATCCTATAGTTTTACTGTCTTTTACTTTCTTATTTTTCTTATTTTCCATATTTTCCATTGCATTTAGCTTAAGATAAGTGACTTTGGTTTGTCAAGAGCAGTTGGAGCAGGTAGTGATTACTACAAAGCTTCTCAAGGAGGCAGATGGCCTGTTAAATGGTAAGCATTTYCAAGCAACTGAATGAGTATTTTTAACAAATTTTACAGAGAAAGYAGTAATGTTTATTACACACTCATAGAGCAGAGTCACTTGAACCATGAAATAGAAACTAAATATTTAGTAACTAATAGGCACTATTTAGACACTATCACTGAACCAGAACAGTACAAAKAGATTRCTTTGATTGTTATAGTGTTCTCTTGGGTATTGCTTATTGGATCAAATAAAGTGTTCTGGTTCAGTGCTAATGACTATTAGGAACTAATAATACCTATTAGTTAGTACTTTTTAGTTTTTATTTCATGGTTCATGTGACTCTGCTCTACTCATTATAGGTATGCTCCTGAGTCCATAAATTATGGAACGTTTTCTCATAAGAGTGATGTGTGGAGTTAYGGAGTTACRCTSTGGGAGATGTACTCATTTGGTCAATTACCATATGGAGAAATGACRGGTGGTGAGGTAAGGACACTTTCTAAATTACTAAAAAGATGAAATACTTGGTCAGGACAATAATGTTCTGTACTCGTGAATTGAAAAGGTGTTCTAAAAATAGTAACAAACATCTCAACTTAACTATGATCTGCAGGTGATAAGGTTACTTGAGACAGAAGGAAAAAGGTTGGACAGGCCAGAAGCATGCCCTGAACATGTGTACAAGTTAATGTTAAAATGCTGGGATCTTAAACCTGAGTACAGACCAACATTTGAAGAGYTGCATAATATATTCAGCACCGATCCTTTGTATGCTGATGTAAGGTTGTTCAGAGATTAATGTAGATTGGTTTAGAATTCAGTACAAGTAATCATAGGACAGCAACAAGAAGGCAGAGGTTTACAGCATGTCTAAAGTGTACAATAACATTAGCACTTAGACATAGTCTTCTTTACAGAGTGTCATTTGGAAATGTCGATGTGCATCATTGGATCCAAATGAGGCTCTCATGATAGATACCTTTTTATACAGCAAAGCCAGTTATTTTTCATAGGTATCTAAAATTCTTATTAATTCTTAATTCTCACTTGGATTACAAAGACATAGGGAATTCTGAAACATAGTCTAACATGTCACTACAGGATCTAGTTGTACAAAGGGTGAATAGCTTAAAGTGCAAGCAGGAAATAAGAGAGAGCATTGATTTCAGTGACACTCTTTCACTCTCTTTTGTTAAGCCATCAGCTAAAAACATAATGCAATAACAGCTGTAATACTACCAATATTTTTTTAGTTTAATATTGAATATTACYAGATAAGGGAGAGAAAAAGATACACAATATTTGATTATTTGCAATTCAAACAAACTAAAGTATTGCACTCACTTATATTGTGATATGTCCTCCTTCTGGTACAATTAAGACAAATATTGATTATAAAATTCTGATATTCAGAGTATATTTAGTAAAGCTCCATTTTTGGGTTATGCACGCTAATTATTCACATGGAATTATTAATTTGGATCGAGTATCATTCAATAGTAGATGTCACCATTTAATTTGCGGATAATGTTTCACAGTTTAATTCTCACAGCATCATAGATTGTGTGCATGCATCATTGCATCTGTGTATAAACTGTCAAGCAACTATTAAACTGCTGATAATATTATTTTTATTAATGCTGGTCATTATATATGGTACGATGSTATTTTATGTCATGATGGTGCATCTGTTATACTGTAGCATGTGTACAGACTGACATTCTCTCAAAGTTCAGAGAAAATTTTGGTCTGTACACAGGTTATTTATACTGTAGTTCTCATTTTTTTCATGAACATTGTAGTATTAAGTTGGTGTGACTTTCTGTAATTCAAAATTCAACTTTCTTTTTTGACTTAGTAGCCCGGGGGGGGCACTC